CTTATTGTTCCGTGGGGAGTTTTAGATGAGAAGGTTCACAGCGCTTATTACAGAACCTAATTTTACATCTCATTATAATTAACATGGCATCCATCCTGGTTTTTTATTGCTTACCCATAAAATGCTACCCAAAGCTAGGAGTGAAAGCAAAGTTAGCCACCACCCAAATGGTAGTATTTCGCAAGTGGTTTTTTCTCTTTAGCAAAAGATATAAAAATTGCTTTCACAGAGGAAGAAACCCCATGTGTTAGCTTGCTACTGATAGTTGAATTAAGGAATTAAACAAAGTTAATCAAGACTTTGAATATCTGAGCAAACTAAACCCCTCAGGACAGTGAAGAGAAGAGAGCCGCCACTGCAAACTTGACTCTTTGCCCTACAAAAAAAAGCTTGGTTTTGCTTTTGGTTTCTCTTCCCATTTCTGAAAGTAGATGATGTTCTTGAAAAGTAGCCCCATCTGAGATACAGGGTGGTGTCTCATTAGTTCAGAATATACTAAAATACTGAAAACCTGGTCCTTTTCTCCTTCTGACTGACATGGCGTCTTTTAATGTTCCTATCATGCAAGTCATTTCTGGAATTTTTTTCTCCAAAACATTTGTTTTGCAGTCTGCAAAAGTTACTGTCTCTTGAAAAGATTCAGGAGATCTTTCAGAACGTAGCCTTGTCCTGAATTATGGATTCCCAATTAAGCTTTGTGCCGGAGAGAAAATAATTTTACCGATTTCAGTTTCCTTTGCTGTCTGGAAAGAGACATGTCATAGAAGAGAGAGTCTTGAGAGAGGATCCATGAAATCCAAGAAGGAACAGAGGCTCTGCCCACAGGAGTGGGAGCAGATGGGTGCAGGTCAGAGCCACTTCAGGGCATCCACGAGCCCTCCACAAAGGCACAGTGCTGTTCCAGCCTGGCTTCAGAGCAGGCAGGGCAGGGCAGAGAGACTCAGGTCTGCCTACATAGATAACTGCAGCTGTAATTGTAGATCCTTACCTCCAAGGTCATGCTTCTCAAACTCTCTGTGCTGTTGACATCTATCCCTGGAGACATGTACAACCCGTAGCTTTCTGACTGTCTTATGTCTAAGTTCTCCTTCTGGATGAGGCTGTACAGCTTGTAAAGTAGATGTTCTTCATCCAGTCTTGCCCAGGAGCCTCACTTGGTAGGTGTTCTCACAGCACATGTGACAGGCTCCATGAAAAATTTAGTTTTTGTAGAAAAGGCGGTCCAAAGAACCATAGGTAGCATCCTGTATGACAAAATGACTCAGAACTTAGAGGATTTCTCTGGAACAAGAGATTTTCTTAGAAACAAAACAAGATGCTTCAGTGTATCTTAGTACTAGATTCTTTTCTGGACCACTCTGCCATTTTATCTCCAGCAGATTAAGTGTAAATGGCAAACATTTACGTGATACTGGATCGAAATGTCGGTGCAGTAACTACCAGTTCAGTGGTAACGTACTGGTGTTCTGGAAATCTGGAACACTATGTCAGGTGCCTGGGCAAGGAGACTCTTAGTCATAAAAGCAGCGGTGTGGAATAGCTCCGTGCATGTGTACTGGCTGCATACGGCATAGATTTTGGCAGGTGTGTGGGTAGTTGTTGCAAAACACCGAGGATGGTGTAAATTCACTTTAACTGATTTCTCAATAGTTTCTCTGGGTGAGCGTACCTGTCGTGGCTTTTACTATCTATCTGGGCTTTTCCATGCAACTCTGAAATTTTGGTGACCTGGTTAACATAGACAGAGACAGCTTCTGCTTTCAGTTTGGGAAAAGACTTGTTTGAGGCTTTTTAATGTAATGGAATATCGATAAGCATTACAGGACCCTCTGGATGGGGTCTGATGCTAAGTAAATTCAGACATGAAATACTATGCACGCCGTTAATATGGACGACAATCATCTTAGAGTTCCCAAACTTAATTTGTCTCAGTAACAACAGTGGTTTGGTGGATACTGGCACTCGTAGTGTGTGTTAACAGTGAAAGTCATGATTACCGACTGTGTGGAAAGGCAGAGACATCCTGTGTTTGTTCACTCCAATATGTTCCTGGCTCTGTATTCTCCAGATCCTTGTTGAGCAGAATCTAAACCCACGTTTTTATCTACTTCTTTTCAGGTAGCTGCTATATTTACAAGTCTGAATATAAGACAATGGGAGGGGTTTTTTTGTACTTTCAGCCAGCTATGGTGTCACTTGAAATTTTTTGCATGTATATTAAAAAACCCCGTATGCAGAAATTTGCAACAATTATTGCATGTTTTATTACCACCACCTCAAGACTGAATACAATTTATGTAAGACTCTACACATATTCCATGCTAGAACATGAACACAGCATTAGTGTGGACACTCTTAACTTTTATATAGAGTAAGATAAAGGGTTACAAAATGCAATGTGATGGCACAATAGAAATTATTCCTCCCATTCTTTTATCACTGCCTTCTAATGAATACCAATAGTCACATTTCTCTTTTACCTAGGGTGGTTCAACCATTGCCACATGTCAGAAACTTTAAACAGTTGTTCTGGGCTTGACTGATTAATTTGCAAGATGCTACACGATTTAAAGAATTAGAATTGCATAATTTACAGGTCTGTGTCAGCCAGAAAGACTGCCCACTCCGTGCAGGGCTGAGGGCAAGGCAGGTGTCTCAGCTGTGTGAGATTTCAGCTCTCTATCCAACTGGTTTTGGGGTACTGTTAATTCACTGGGAAACACAAGGAAGACAAACCCCAAGACTTCACATTTGCCACTGTGTTCGCAGTCTGAGACTTGAACAGAGTTTGCTAAGAAAGATAATTGTAAGCTGAGAAGCTTCATCGTCACTTATATCACAAATACCCTCTAAACTCCATTCCAGAGTCCCTTAAGGATAAACTCTTCAAAACAAAGTTATTCTATATAATTTAAATGGTGCCTTTCTCCTGATGCAGAGGCCCATCAGATCATCTCTGCTTTCATCAGCTCTTGCTTAGGCTGCCTGCATGCCTCCTGCTTGGGAGACAGGGGACGCAGCCGTAATTTCACCTCACCCTGCTGAGGCACCTCGGTCAAGAACATAGCTTGGCTTTCCTGTCTTTCTGTCCTTACTCAAATCTGCACCTTCAGTTGAGTTTTTTCAGTCCTTCTCAGCATTGGGAGCTCATCACCACAACCACTTTTCGTTGAATCACAAGATGTGAATTGTCTGTGAAACTCACTGTCACAAGAGATAGTTGAGACCTAGAATTTGTTAGGTTTCAGGCAGGGACTGGGCATCGTTGCAGACAATATTTGTGGTTATAAACGTAATACATTTATAAACATAAATAAAAAGTTCGGGGTAAGGTGGAAAACTCATGATTTGGGATTTAACTCGGTATTGCATTGTAAAGGGATAGGATGGAAACCTAATGAGGACAGACTATACCATGTCTGCCTACTGCTTCTACCTTCCTCAAAAGCACCCAAGGCTAGTAATGATGAGGACAGACTATACCATATCTGCCTACTGCTTCTGCCTTCCTCAAAAGCACCCAAGGCTAGTAATTTTGGATTAAAAAAAAAAACAACAAGATGAAGAGAATCCTAAATCTCAAGTAGGGCAATATTTCATATATGTGGGCTTTCTGGGTCACCTGCAAAGTTGATGTGGCTTCGTAGGAAACATGGCATTGCCTTCTCTTTGCTATTTATTACAACTGAAACCTCTTACCTCTTTACTGCATAGCAGATCCTCTCTGAACATCAGAGATATTTAGACTTTGGCTCTACAAGACTAATATTTAAGTAAGGTCAATTTTGTAAATAGTGCCGTTAAACATAGTTTTAGAAACTCCTAATCTACAGCCAAACTTGGTGTTAGTTGTTGTTGTTGTTGTTGTTATCAACCCTAGTAACTTTTCATGTCTGTTGTTGACTTATGAATGAATTGAACAATGAGGTGATTGAATGACTGGAGTATACACAGGAAACTCTGAAAACAGCTGTATGCAAAGCATTGTCAATGTGCAAGCTAAATTAACAGGAGATAAATAATGTTTTCCTAATGTGTTCTTTCTTTGCTCTGATCTGGTGGTGTTTTGATCAACAATGCTTTTAGTTAAGAAGGACACGTGAATTTAGCGTGCCGCGGTCAACACGGAAAATTTCAAAGACCAAGGACAACCTGAAGTTTTTGGGTAGTGACGAGACCGTTAAGAGATACCTCGTGGAGAGATTGCAGATCTTGGAGCATTCTGCTGTTTTCGCTGTGCTAGCTGGCTGTATGCCTTGAAGGCAGGAATTACAGTTGAAGTACAGAGAGATGTTAGCAAACATATTTAATAGCAGCTTTTGGCTCTCCGCACAGGCTCCTTTACAGCTTTACATTTTGGCGCTGTATGACATCGTGAAGCTCCGCTGTACCGTAAATGCAGGATTTCCTGACATTAGCGACCGATCAAAGGATTCAAAGGATTACAGGATGCTGATAGTGCTTCAGTTGTCTAAGGAGGTCACTGAATATTTGCTGCAGAGGAGCTGCCCACAGCCTTCCTCAGATTTCTCTTGGGCTAACCCCCATATTGACTCAGCAGTGTGGAAGCACCTTACCTTATCCAGTTCCTAATGCTCTATGAAGGTGCTCACTTAATAGTTCTTTCTGTCATTTTGCCATCCCGTTTTTAACTGAATAACAGGTAATCTTCCTAAGCTTTTCTGTTTATGCATGTTTGTATTCAGTGAAGTAGTCTACAGCTCTCATGAGTAATCAGACCTTCCAAAGGCAACTCAGAAAGGGCAAGAAGGAACAGGGCTTTTATTCAAGGGTGTGTCAAAGTGTCTGGTGTGAACGTGGAAGAGGAGGGAGCTCTTGAAGGGTGTGTTTGGGCAAGGAGAGCCAACCAGTCCTAGAAGCACAGGGAGTGGCTTGGAGTGGGACTGTATAACGGGCAGGCTGAGATGGTTCACCCTCTGCCTGGACAGAGTGCTGCAAAGCTTAGACTAGTGAATCTCAGTGCACACCTACCAGTAGAGATGGCTCCACAGACTGGCTCCACTGAAAAGGAGACGCGACCTGTTTCAGCCTTTCTACAGCTTTTCACCTGGGAAGAGATCAGAATCCACAATGGCCATGGTCAAGGTCAGGAGCAATGGCTGGTGATTGACAGGAAGGTTTATGATGTCAGCAAGTTTTCCAAACAACACCCTGGAGGCAGCCGAGTTATTAGCCACTATGCTGGGCAAGATGCTACGGTAAGATCTAGGAGGACAGTGGAGGAAGGTGGTTCTGTTGTCAGGGCAGGATGAGATGGGGGGACTCCAGAGAAGAGTGCTTGTGGTAGTCGGCGCCGTGCTTGGTCAGATAATGAAGTGGACGTGTCTGTGCCATCTGTAAAAATGCCTTTCTGGTTACCTTCGGGGTCAGAGTTACCTGCTGTGCAAATTGTAAAGCTCCGATTAGGTTCGTTACACCCTGCTGTAAACAAAGCGATATCCCGCAGGTCGTCTTGCCACTAGGCATGCTCGGGCAAGCGGCCTTCCAGATGCCCGAAAAGTGTCTCTGCTGCAGCAGTGAGAAAGGGAAGAGGGTAGGCAGCAGTACGCTCAGTGCGTGCTTTTGCTTTAAAGGCTGCTCTTTCAGGGCCAGATGGATGTGATCGGTGATAAGCAAATGATAATCAAAAATAGAGCATGGGTAGATAGATAAGATAGGTAAGGAGGAGGTAACATCCAAGCATAAAGTAATTTGGGGGGCAGTGGAGCAAGAGGAGGGCGTACTCAAGGAAGGGGCACTATTTTGTACAGGTAAGTGGAGGAGAAGAGAGTCTTGAGCAAAAAGGCTATTTCAAAGGAGGGGGGGGAAGAAATGAAATACAGGGAAAATGACTGAGAAAGCAGCAGAATGACATTTGGCTGCAGAAGATGAGGAAAAATTCTACAAATAATCACTATTTGAAAATAGATTTTCCAGAGATTTCTGAAATTTCTTTGATTTAGAGGATTTCTCTAAAATAATTTGTTGCTTGTTGACAGAAAGAATAAATTCTAAGCAGATCTCACAGACTATTTGCTGAAAGTAGATACTGAATTTCTGAATAGTCAGAAATAGGCTATTAGAAACATGACCAGGGTTATGGCATAAACTTGTGATGTGGGAGACCCAGATTTAATTCTTGTCACGACAAAACTTTTTGACTTCAAGGAAGTTGCTTAGCTTGCCTGATTCCTCAGGTTTCAGTCTGTAAAATGGGCTAGCACTTCCTAACTCATGGCCCAAAATGGGGCAGATCAGTTATTTTTCACATTTCCTTCCTTTCACCCAACTTGAAACTGAGGCAGAAAAATACCTGGTGTTCTCAAATGCAGAGAAAGAAGGCTTCTGAGCCTCGTTGGTTTTCTTCTCTAGCTCACTGGCTGGCAGATTCAGCCCTGATGTAAAGAGAGGGTTGTGTGTCCGTAACGCAGCACCTGCGTAAGGCGACGGGAGGTTGCAAGCAGTGCTGCACCGAGAGCTAACAGGAGGAGGGAACTAATCCTGCCCACCGCTGCCAGCTCTCTTACCACCCTGTTATCTTCCCAGTAATTCTATTCCAGTAAACCATCCGTGTGCGCTAATTCACTCTAGCCTTCTCTAAAGAGGATTTAAACATGCTAAAAATACATTTTTTTTTTTTGTAATGAAAACTGCGTTTTTACATAAAAGATGAACGTGCCAATTTTAAGTCAACACAGCCCTTTCAGGTGATGTTTTGTGCCATGCTGCGATGAACTTACGACAGAGACAAACGCTGAGGCTGCCACTCTCAAGAAGGTAAGCCCGGCCATACCAAGCCAGCCCAGAGATCCCTGTAGCCTGGTGCCGTCTCCTGCAGTTTCTGTTACTGGGCTGTTACAAAAGGAGTCAAGGAAGGCAGAAGGCATGGCATGGTTTGTCCCCAAGCTATGTCCTCCCAGCTTCTGCAGTGTAAGGACTTGCGTTTAGATTATTATGCTTTATAGACACCCAGGGGTTTTAACCGCAGTGGATTTGTCTGGTATGAATGAGTTTAAAGAATGACCTTTGATCTTATTTTTATTTATTATTACAATGATATTACAATCTCATTATTTTTCCTCATTATAACTTTTGTACATTTTAAACCTACTTGCTGATAATTTGATTATTGTGTTACGAAAACAGTGAATAAATTTTCCCTCATTTTCTCAATGCCACTTATGGGTTTTTAACTTGTTACCTCTTTCCCAAGGCAGTCTTCTGGTACGAAAGCTGTTCCAGAACTCTATTCATCTTTTTTTGCTACGTATAGTTGTACTACATCCCTTTGAAGACGGAAGGACCAGAACTACAGGCAGTAGTCAAGATTGTGGGTACACTGCGGATTTATGTTGCATCATATGGCATTCTTCTGTCTTGCTCTCGTTTTTTATTTTGCTAAATTTTATCATTCTTTTTGCTTTTAAAATGCTGCTATGTTCATATATTCTGAGTAACACACACTTTTACAGAAAAGCAGGACTGGAAGGTGTCTCACAAGATCGTCTGGTGCATGACTTTGCCTAAAGCCAGGATCCAGGATTTTTTTCCAAGTACTCTTCAGTACTCTAGAGCTCGTAATTGTATATATGTGGTGAGAGTTGTCTTCCTCTAGAGCTCATAGTTGTACATATATTGTGAGAATTTTCTTTCTCTGTGTGGATTACTTTGTAAATACAGACAATACGCGTTGCAGAACATACATTGATGTCAAATGTTGGAGGTTAGGTGTGTTGCAGATGGTAGTCCTTAAAGTTAATCTCTCCTACGATGATAATCAGGGCCTAAGAGCAGGGAGGAGAAAGGACAGGTTGCAGGACTGAAAAGCTTGCACTTCTGTGATAAGAATCTGTGATACTGATATTGTGGATAGGAAATTCTGCTTAAAAGGATTCTGGCTCCTGTTTCTAAGCTGCAGTATAGACACTTACAGCTTGACTCCGTTTTAGAATTCCTGGCAAGAGGGAGCTACATAAAAATGCATAGAAAACTGTAGGATGAGGGGCACAGAATCATAATGGGAAGATTTCCCCAGTCCTCTGGGTCTGGACAGAGTTACTCATTTGTCACTGTGACAAAGGGCCACTAGATGTCTGTAGAAAGCCCATCTGTCCAAAAAGTCACCTTGCTCTGACTTCTTCTAGACTAAAGTACTCAGAGAGACTGTCTCTCAGCAGAGGAATGTCAGACTGCACAAGGGAAGTCCTCTGTCCTCTTCCAGGGACTTAATCCTGACCGGAGGTGTGCCGAATTTGGTTGCGTTGTGATCACCCACATCGATTTTCAGAGCCAAAATCGGCAAGTACCTGCTCAGACACTGCGGATTTTGTTATGTCTACTCCTTCTGGAAGACAAAAGAGTATGGTCAGCCCCTTTACCTTTCTTCTGGAAAATTCACTGAGGACATGAACTAAAGAAGAGTTTTGGTTTATCTGGAATTTCATCCTTTATTCCATAGTTTCTATTTGATTTTGAAACTGGTATTTCAAACGGTTCTTGGACAGACCCGTTTGTGTCACTAGTGTTACCCCATTCTCCAAAACATCAATTGGTCTGAAAACTTCCAGGGAACTGTAAGAGATACCCAGTTAGTCCTGCTGTGTATGGAGCTTCAGCAAGTATTTCCTATGGTCTTCGTGTAGTAAAGATAGGATTTTAAAAACATCATCCCAAGCATGGCAAAGACACACCTCATTCCTTGACATGTTTTCCTGCTCCTGGGTCCCATCCATGGGGCAGGGCTGCTGGCTGGAGCCTTCTAGGGAAGGACTCTGCTGAAATAAGCAGATGAGAGAGCAGGTTTCCCTCTGCAGAAAGTTTTTCATCACACACTTTCATGTTTATTACCAGCCTCGCCCAGGTACTTTTATGAAACTTAGTTTCTTGAAACTTCTCCAGCTTCCTTGGGCCAAGCTCCAGTTGATGGCAAAGAACTACAGGAGCAACCAAAGGGATAAAAATGGACAAAGGAAGCTGGATTATATATTACATCAAAGACCTGGAAAAAGGAGAGCCGCAGCATCTGGTGTTTAGTCACATACCCTTGCTTACCCCCTTCCTTTGTGTGTTTCTCAGGATGCCTTTGTAGCATTTCACAATGATAAGTCCCTGGTGAAAAAATACATGAAATCTCTGCTGATTGGGGAGTTGGCACCAGATCAACCCAGCTTTGAGTCTAATAAAAAAGTGAGTGTCCTAGAATCCAGCTGTGGGAATGGCTTGGGGTTCAGTATGGGAGGAGAAGGAAAAGAAGGGAGCGAAGAGAAATCATTTCTGAAGCAGCGTGCCTGACGCTGTGCCGTAGGCTGGGTGGTGGGGAGGCAGCTGGCAGTAGTCATGCATGGAAACGTGCGCTGTCCCAGAATCACTAATTCCCCACCTGAGTGTGAGGAATGAGCCCCAGAGCCCTAAATTCCGCTCAGTTCTTCCCACGGCGATGTCTCGGTAACAGAGCCTGTCAGCAACTTGTTTTCCAGTGTCAAAGCAAAACCAAGATCTGTTGATCTCATGCTCGTTTTTGCACAGAGAGCCCTCTGACAGAATATCTCCTCTGACTTCCATGGCTACTCTGGGATTCCTGGGGCTGCTGTGTTACAGTGTCCTTATGTGACAGTGCATTAATACTCACTTTACCCACAGAAATCACTTTTAGAGGATTTTCGTGAGCTGCGCTGCACTATTGAGAAGATGGGACTTCTGAGGCCAGATTACATCTTTTTCTTCCTGATTTTCCTTCACCTCCTGGTACTGGATGCTGCATCCTGGCTGGTGGTCTGGTACTTTGGGATATCCTTAGTGCCTTTCCTGGTTGGCATGGCGTTCTTCACCATTGCTCAGGTAAACTGCTGACAGCTGCTCAACACTGCGGATGTGTTTGGTTCTTCCAGATGGAGAGGGTTAACGAAATGTTCATATCCCAGTCATCGCTTTACTGCCTCTTCTTAGATCCTGTAATCTGGCCGAAGACAACAAGCACATTCTACATCACAATTTCTGTTGCCTTCAGCAAATCTGGTTTTGCTGACAAGCTGCTCAGCAGGGTTGGTGGGATGTTGTGGAGCTGGCAGTTTCACAAGACGGGATGAGCTGATCTAATCACTTACCCCAGCAAAGGAGGGAATATTTCATTCTCGGCTTCGCTTTTGGCTCCATGTCCCTTCTGTTTACTGACTGCTGGCTCTGGTGTTTGTTGGGTCCTTTACGAGCTAATTACACTCACCGGCCCTGAATAGTTTTCTGAATAGTAAACTGAATCATAGAAGGGCACGATACATGTCAGGGTTG